TCCTTTTCCTCATGAGAAACTGTCCAGTCTTGAGGGTCCCTGGCACAGTCAGAGCTGCTTTAATGAAAGCCACGCTGTCATGTTAGAAGGAGGATGCCCCACACATGCCCAGGCAGAGTGTGTCTTAGTGCCCTTACTGCCCGACCACAAGCTGCAAGACGCATTTCTATCCTCTCCTTGCGGATGAGATGCCAGCCAGCCTTAGGCCTTGTATAGGAAAGTCTGGAGTTGGGAGGAGCCCCAGCAGGATGTAGTCTCAGGCAAATTTAGCCCCATCCACGTGAGGAAGTGTAGCATCCCCCTGGCTGTGGGACCAGGGCATTCTTTGGAGGTATGTGGACAGTGACCCCTTCATCCGTCTGTCTGTCCTTTGGGGAGTCCCAAGACCTTCAGCAGATGCCTGGAATAAAGTTTCCCTGCACAGTAGGTACAGTAAGAGATGGACATCGGTCACATAATGGATTGGCAGCCCAGCTGCTGATGTATTGTGGGATAGTAAGCAGGTTTCCCTGAAAACAGAGCTGTCAAGTGCTCGAGGTGGATGAAGCTTTCACATCTGCAGGACTTACAGCAACCCTTGAAGTTAGTTTCCTACCTGAAGGAAAATAGAAACATGAATGCTACTCTGCCTCATGCTCTGAGGAACCTGGGTATATTTGTTCAAAACGTTGATGTTGTAGAGGGAACAGTGGGTAAGAAAGGTGGAACAGTTTGGAAAACCAGGTTAGCAGTGTGGAGAGGGAGAGGGGGAGGGGGAGAGGGAGAGAGGGAGAGAGAGAGAGAGAGAGAGAGAGAGAGCAGTATGTATGCATGAGAGAGGAGAAAGAGGAGGAGAAGGGACTGACTCGTTGTGAGTCCTGGCTGGCTTTGTACTTTTGTACTTGTTCCATAGCTCAGGTTGGCCTACCTTAGGGTCAGTCTTGAAGCTTTCTTGGACATTTCCCTGTGTCCCATGCTTATGACGTACCTGGAACCTGCAGGAATCTCCCAGGGCTCTTCTGCATGTGTGACAAGCCCCTCGGCCTCACCACTCCAGCAAGAGCCCTGGGGGGCTGAGTGACAATATTCCTTTCCCACACACCGGCTTATTTACTGGGCTGAAGAACTGGGGAAAGGACACAGTTTGCCATTCCTCTGAGGAACTCTCTCCCTGTCTGTAGCCTCCCTCTCTTCTTGCCCTATGAGCCTTTGCTGTCATTAGTTTACTGACACTTCTTCTGATTGGCAGGCTGCTTCTTAGATTTGTCGTGTCTCCCCTAAAGGGTAACTAAAGGGCAGAGATCTCAGAAGGACATTTCTTAGAGGCCCACACAGTGCGGGGTGTACACTCACCCCACGGAGGCAAGCCCCTGGTCCATGTCTGGCGCCCCTGAACTATTAGCATCTTCCAATACTAGGCCTGTTCTTAGCACTCCTGTGGGGTGTTCCTGTGAGGTTTTCTGAGTGAAACACAGTAGAGGTCCCTCACAGAGGGAAACCATCTGGAGCTCGGCATGCCCTTCCAGGATCACTGAGGCAGTCCAGGCTGCACTTGCCTGATCAAGGACACTGCAGTGAACAGGGCAATGAACCATACCTCAGGAACCCTCCCTGGGCCCTGTGTAGGAGGATCACAGGGCCGAGTAGGGCCTTGGCTGCCAAGCTGACTCACAGAACACACAGTTGTTGCTGCAGGGCTGTGGGTACAGGGCACTGATATGCACATAAGCTGGTTCACAGAATGCAATGTCCAAGGGATGGCGTTGCCTGGAGCACCTGGAGAACAGGGCTGTCACCTGTGAAAGGTTCGAACAGTGCCACAAATGAGGTCTTCTGTGCTGAATGGCGGCTGGAGAGTGTAGTGTCTCAGTGCTCATGGTCTGGGGGATCCTGAAGCTGCACCACAGTAGTGGGGGGACCCAAGGGAAGGAGGAGCTCTTCTCATTCATCTCTCCTCTCCGGAGAAGCTGCCCTGCAGCTCTCCGCCAGGGGTCAGAAGGGCTGTCCTGCAGAAGTGCTGGGTACTTTGGTGGTGTGGCTCAGGCTGCAAACTTAGCTCAGCACTCTAGTGTGTGGGCTGTGCAGCTCAGAAGCCTTGGTGGTGGCTTTGTTGTTCTCGTGCCACATGAGGTAGTTAGTCTCTGGGTTGGTGGTAGGACCCAGACTTCGCTCCTTGAGGGATGTGCCCTGCACAGGGACCAGGGAGTGTCAGTGGCTTGTTAGCTTTGTGTAAGTTCTTGTCTGCTATGTTTGATGGTGTTTGATGAATGAATGTATACACAGACCATCTCTGGGCAGCGTAGGTATGACACAGCTGCAAGCTTTGTGCCTACCCCTCGCTAGGATGCCCTCTGTTCCTGACTCCTAGGAGACATTTGCCCAGTATCCTCAGGCCTAGGGCATTTATGTGGCTTTAGCCTCTGGTCAGTCTTCCCAGAAATGCTTTAAATGACTAGTAGCCAATGGTTTGCATTTGTTTAAGGGCTAGCTGTGGTATAGCTGTAGCCCTTAGGCTGGCTGCTGTGGGCTCTCCAAGAAATAGAACTAACTCAGAGGAAGAACACCAGCACTGAGTCTTGGAATCCTTTTTGCTCCAAATCCAGCAAAATGTATAAACTTAACAAACCTTGATAACTCCCTCAGCCTGAGCGGCCCTGATACCACACAGGATATGCCAGCTAGCCGTGTTGGAAAGAGGGTTCACCGAGGGTCCAAACTCCCTAAGACTTTTGGGCATTTTGTTTAAGAGATGGAAGAAACTGTGGCTGGGTTTTGTAATGTTCATGGTATTGACAAATGAGAATGCTAACAGGCCAGGAGAAGCAGGAGGGAACTTCTGGCCTGTAATCCAGTCCAGTGTGACGTCAGCCATCTGTTCTGCCTGCAAGGACTGTTCCCTCGGCATGATGATGCACACTCGAAGTCACACCAGTGGGCTCAGCAAGGCTGCTCTTAGGAAAGCCCAGCAGATGATTGGGGAAGGAGGGTACAGCTGCCCACAAATGGTCACAGCTGGCCACAGCTGGCCACTGGCCCAATAAACCTGTCTATATGAATGGTCTCATCACACCTCCAGTGCCCTGACTCTGAAGGAGGAACGTCCATCGTCTTTCCTGAAAAGTGCCTTTACCACTCACTTTGCATCAGGAAGTTTCCTCATTGGGTATGGTTTCCCTTCCTTTGTCCCCTTTTCTTCCTCAGGCCTGTTTGTTTAAATCCCATTAACTGCAGACTCTGCATCTTCTTCCTAAACAAGATGTGGGTGGTACTCAAAGCTCCTGAGTTCCCCCTCTCACTGGCTTGTCTTACAATGCCAACTGGCTCCCTGGCAACTCTGGTCAGGGGTCAGTGGAATGCGCAGCCCAGCTAGGGAGGGGCAAGCAAGCTGGCCCGGCTTGCTGGGTGTTTGTGCTTTGTGATGTCTGCGCTGGAGGGTCTGGAGGTTCTGGGCTTGGTAAACATCATACCCCCAAAAATATCTCAGCTCCGGCTCCCCGTATTTGTGGGTGCTGCTTCAGTCAGCTGCCTTGAGACCTCACAGTTTGTATCGTCACGGGGAGTCACTGTTCTGTGGGTCTGTCTCCATCCCGGAGAGGTACTCTGGGGACAGTTCCTCAGTGCTAGGCGCACAATTCAGGTCGATCAGACCTAGACTCTCCCTGACTTGACTGGTAAAGATTGCTACAGACTGCTCTACCTGAGCCTCAGCAGCCAGAGCAGATTGCTGGGCTCTGTGTTGCTCCCTGGGTGTCTTTTGGGCACCCAGAATGATAAGCTCGCATCTCAGAGCCAAGTTTCTGGTTTTGCTGCAGTGACTTCTTTGGTGTGGGTACACACGTAGGATTCTAACACAGTGGGTCTGGTAGAGGGCCTAATAGTCGGAGACAGACCTCTGCTCAGAGTGGATTCCTCTGACCAGAGTGGATTCCTAAAGTCCAGACTGACACGGGGCAAAAAGCGGAAGCCTGGCTCCTGGGCGTGTTGATGATTTTCCGCTGCCCTGGTGGGTTTGCTGAAAATATATATTACATTGTCTCACATTAGAGGCCTCCACCACCTCTCAGTTCCGTTTTTATACTCTCTTTTTGAATTTTTTTTAACACCTCAAAGTACAACCTTGCTCTATGACAGTTCCTTTCATGCAAAATAGCAGATATGGGGATAAAAATTAGATGTCCAGGAAACTTCCAGAGTTTTTCCATATTCCTTCCTGCTTACTAAGATAGGTGAAATTGCATAAAACCACTTTCCAGAATCAGAAAAATACATTATTTCTTCTTCAAGCTTATCTTTGTGGAGGCTGGGTAGGCATCACCATCCCCTCAAGATGCTGGAGCCTAGAGGTAGTGCTGAACCTGTAAACAGCCTCAGGCCCCCTCTTCAGTCTCCCAAGTCCAAAGGGTAACTCATGAGCTGCCATCTTGAAAGAGCAACATCACCAGGGACGCAGAGAGCTTGCTGGCATCAGAGACCCAGTTCCTTCCCGTGTGGTAATCTTCACTGGGCTGTAAGTGAGCTTTAATGTGACTTTCCACGAGTAAAACAGTATTTGCTAGTATATTACAAGATGTCGTTTTCCCGAACATAAACGAGCAGGTAGGATATATTTTGTGTAGATACGGAAGGGTCTGGGACGGGCTTGGCCTCGACATTTCCATCAACATGTCCATGAGATTATAATGGGGCTGGAAATGCCCTCTGCCAACTATGTCACAGCGCTGACACCAGCACAACCCATTCCTTCCATGAGAGCACAGACTGTGTGTACAATCACGTTTATCACAGCATCGGGACGTGTAAAGTGTCACCTGTTAATCTGTTTCTCTGCTCAGTGCCCACACCAGGTGGCAGCCACGTGTGAGTCAGCCACTCTTATGACATTAACAGTGGTGAAGTCACCTGGTGCTGCATCTTCCAAGCTGCCCGGCCAACTGTAAGCCATCGTGGACTTGTTGGGATAGGACGGATCTGTGGATTTGTGGCACCAGCTCTGACACTCTCTTTACCTTTCACTGGTTCAGGGAGCAAGTCTCAGAGGTTGGAAAGAAGCAACTTCGCTGTTTAATAAAGAAGACGAAGAACATCTACTGGAGACTTCCAGATCTCCCAAGTCCAAAGGGTGAGTAGAAGCGGCCATCTTGAGAAAGTGACATCACCAGGGACACAGAGAGATTACTGTGGTATAAGGAGAGGGGTTATCCCGCCATTGCCTCCAGAGAGGCCTCTGCTATTCCAGGCTGCAGATACAGGCAAGCTGTGAGCTATGAATGCTGGGGTGCACAAAGAGATGGGGTGCACTTTTTGAGTGCCCTGGGGACAACTTCTACCTTGAGTAGAAGTTATGTAACCAGAAAAGCATTCTGAAAGGCTAAAGAGAAGTAAAAAGCTAAAACTTGTGAATGGACTTCACAGAAGGCAGCCTGGAGCTGTGCTTAAGCTGTGGACCTCACTAGCCAGAGCGCCCAGCAGCCCGGAAGTGAAGGAAAACACAGCCAACCATGTACAGGTTTAGGACTCAGGTGGGGATGGGGTAGTGCTCGTGCACTTGCTGAGCGTGTGTGTACTTGCTGAGCGTGCATGAATTTGCCAAACAGGCACGCAGACCTGATTTGATCCCAGCACCCTCAAAACTGAACAAAACCACAAGTAGTGATTGGAAACCACAAAACAATCTAGAAAGTTAAGTATAAACTGATACATTGTTGCTACCTTATTGCACACTTATCAGAGTTAAGCTTGCATTTCCAGGTAAAAATGTGCCAGCTGCCTGTTATGGTAGGACGTGACCTTGGAAGCCTGTAGCTGTTTCCTTCTGGTAGAGGACTATCTATGGCAGCGGATGGCAGTTCTTCCTCACTGAGGCATAAAGCAGCCGTTTCACAAAACGTCTTCTTGGTCACTGGGTGATGTGCCCATCGCTCTGGACACCTGTGTCCTAGTGTCTCCAACAGTGTCTGAGTGATGCTAATAGCCAGCAGCTAGTCAGAACACTGACAACATGTTCTTTGTATCGCTCATTTCCTTTTCTTTCTTACCTGGCCCCCTTGGTTTTTCTAGACAGGGTTTCTCTGTGTAGTCCTAGCTGTCCTGGAACTCAATCTATAGAACAGGCTGGCCTTGAACTCAGAGATCTACCTGCCTCTGGCTCCTGAGTGCTGGGATCAAAGCTGTGCACTGCGACCAGGCTAGTCATTTCCTTATCATGATATAAGTTTTGAGTAATTTTTTTCCTTGAGTCAACTACCTACTAAATGTTTAAGAGAAGTTTATTACATGAGCCACCCTACAGAAAACCCACTTACTGACTAGAATTTCCCCTTTACTTATAACCTAACCTGGACCTTGGTTTTTCTGGTTTACTCAAATGCCCACATAATCCCTCCTATGGCTTCTGAGACTTGGTTCCTTGTGGCAATAGTGTCCAGTCTCCTGTCTAAGACCTGGTCCTTAGCCTATGATGCATGGAAAGCCAAAGCATGGCTTCTATGGGCTTATGCCCGCTAAGTTTCCACTGTTATTTTTAATATTTATTTCAAAGTTATGCACAGGTTATCATTGACTTTCTAAGCAAGTTAAAATTCTTAGAGAAAAAAACTTTATAAAACTGACACATTATGAGATCACTGTGTGACCAAAAGTAAACCGTTTCATCTCCAGAACTAACCTACGACTAAAAGAAGAGCTGAAGGCAGAGAAGAAATCAGGATTTTGGGACGCCTTGGTTTTGAAACAGAATGTTCAGCCTAAGAAACCAGATCAGATCGAAGGCTGGGAGCCTCCCAGACTTACTGCTGAAGACGCGGCCGCTGACCGTACTGAGGATGGTGTAAGCGGCTGCCCACCCTGGTCTGCCTGGGAGGATGACACCAAGGGCTCTACCAAGTACACCAGCCTCGCCAACTCAGCCAGCAGCTCCCGCTGGAGCCTCCGGTCAGCGGGCAAGCTGGTCAGCATCAGGCGACAGAGCAAAGGCCACCTGACAGAGACCTGTGAGGAAGTAGAATGAACTGAAGGCGCTTCCCAGGGACATCACATTGCTTTGATGGTTGGCCAAGCCCGCCGCCCACCTTCTAGTGCACCATTAATTCTTGAGCCCTCTCATAGCCCAGGGAAGGAACCCACGGAGTTGCTGGTGTTTCATGCACAGTGACCCATACACACCATGGCTTCCTGGTGACATCTGGCTGCCTTGCTGCAGAAACATCCACCCACTGGGTGCATGTGTGCTGAATGGATGTGTGTGTTGCAGACACTGTCCTGTGAGCCAGTCTCCTCTAAGGTTCGTGCCAGCCTCAGTCACTTGGGTTTTTAGAACATCTCCATCTTGTCCCTGCATGCGACATGAGTGCTGCAGCTAGCTGAACATGGCCTCTGTGGCCCCCTCTCCCTTTGTCAGAATACAAGAAGCATCTTCCAAAGGTTACAGTAATTCAGTTTGACAACAGATTCATTTTTCCTTATTAAGTTAAAAACAAAGCAAAATCTCGATGCTGGAAGCAAGGTGGTTTGAGGTAGGGTGTCAGGGCATCTCGAGGGGCACATGCATCTGCTGAGGAGGACTGGCCTGCAGTGTCGGCCTAGGTGGCAACTAGTTCTTTTATGGAATTTTATTTTTTTCTTTTGAACGTTTAAATACAGATCTTTATTTTCTTCAAAAAAATGTTGATTTTAAACTTAAAGATGGAAGAAATACTAGGAGTAAATTTTAGTCACCCAATAATCTTAACTTTGCTCAGAAAACATTAACTTGCTCACTGTAGAGTTAAACTGTAGATAAAACACTGAAGTGCCTCGTTTCTATTCTTAGATGTTTAGTTTTTCAAAATGAGAAACTTTTATGATTGATGTTGAATCTATAAGAAGTGTGTGTCCTCCCTAGCTCTGCCTGTCTTGCACTGCTGACTGTCCTCCATTGTGGTCCAGGGGCGATGTTCAGGTGGCCCATGTGTTTGTCTTTGTTTTCCAGTTACAGTGCTTGGACGGACTGGGGAGCTGTGTTTCTTTGTTTTGGTTAAGAATTCAAAGCCACTAGTCACACTGTCTGTTAGCAGTGTAAGCACTGTGTCCCCAGTGTCCCCAGGTGTCCCACGCAATGTTCTGTGGAACAGCCAAGTGGCCTGGGTTCACTAGATCTGTCATCCACAGCTACCTGTCTGTCCACCACCCAGCTTGCCAGCCACCCATACCCATCCACCTGTCCACACATGAGTCTGTCCACTCATAAACTAGCTTTTATTTTTTAATCTTTTAAAAAATAGAACAGTAAGTTCACTCAATGAGCTTCGAGAGGAGGATTCGGGTAGAAAATTGTTAACACCTGGAAGTTCAATTATGGAGATTTTGATTCATAATGCAAAGTATTTTTACTATAACCTGTGAGTTTGAAAATCCTTAAGTATCCTCAGGTAAACGGTTGAGTGCGTGAGCTCCGAGACCGCTCTTGTCTTCAAAACGAGGTAACTGCGGGAGAGGACAGAAGAGAGGGCTCTTGCTGACGCCCACAGCAGGAACCCACTGGTGTGTCTGGCTAACCACCTGTGGGACAGGAATACAAACCCAGCCTTGAGAATGTAGGGAACGAGCTCTTGAACACACAGCCTCTGTGTTCACTGGGCCTGTGCTGAGTGCTAAGTGCCTGTAGCTCTCTGTGCCCGTGTGCCTGAGAGGCAGTGTTGTGTGTTGACACGGGGACTTTCACCCTGTCGCCTCCCAGGAGGCTAGGATGCACTGTAAACCAGAAAGATTAATTAAAAATGATTTTTTTCTTCTGTTGTATCAAATTAAAATATCTAGTGTTTGAGATCTTCAGTGTGTCTATTTGTTGGTTTGCCTTCAGGAGAACATCTCTTCACAGACTTCACGCAAACTGTTCAGAAGCAGTTTATGATTCTGGAGCTGGCAGAGGGGACTCGATGTCAGTACGCAGAACTCTGTCCTCTGCTTTTCTGGGAGGGGTAGAGTCCTCCTCAAAGCTAAAGATTAAAGAAAACAAAAAGAATCTGCATCCATCTCCTTATCTGCCCTCGGCTTTCCCGCCATGGTGACCTCGCAATCCTCATCCCGGGAAATGGCCGTCCACCTTCCCATAAGTAAACTGACAGTTTGGGCTGAACATGTACCTTCTCATTAGGTGAGCTAGCTATACTGGGCTGTCACCTGGAGGTGACCGGCACACTGGGTGCTCTGCGTTGCTGCTTCCGGTCCGCTGCCCTTCCGGTCCGCTGCCCTTCCGGTCCGCCGCCCTTAGTCAATGAGTTAAGTAAGCCCTTAAGCAAATTGTTCTCTTAGACTTGAGCTAGGAAACTCAGTTTGCCAGAGGTAGTATTGGGTTTGTTTTGTTTAAATTTACCCACTCTCTTTTTAAAAATGTAACCATCCCTACCCCCCAAACAGTGACCTTTATTAAGATTAACACCCATAGGAACTGGACCCCGGGAAAGCTCCCGAAAGCCTGCGTGCGTCCCTTTCTAGCTATAGATGCCTTAAAGAGGAAGGGGGTATTGAGCTTCACCCAGTTTCTCAAGGGCCGGCACCTCTGCCATTCACCTACCTGATCCCAGTCAGACTTCGTCAGGTCACCCCAGTCCTGTTGTTCAGGCTTGCGCTCACAGGGCTGCCTCAGCGTGGTCCCTGTCACCTCCTGGCCGGTGTCCCAGGAGACTGCCTGCTGGTTCTTACTCCCTGCTCTCTGACTCTCAGCCATCCATCATTGGAATTAGATCACCTGAATCTCCAGAAGACAGTGTGAGGAGAAGGAAGGCTTTAATTCTGATCAGCTTTTTTTTTTTTTTTTTTTTTTTTGGGAGGGGGGTGGTAAGGCTCAAGACAGGGTTTCTCTGTGTAGCCCTGGCTATCCTGGAACTCACTCTGTAGACCAGGCTGGCCTCGAACTCAGAAATCCGCCTGCCTCTGCCTCCCAAGTGCTGGGATTAAAGGTGTGTGCCACCACTGCCTGGCCTGATCAGGTTTTTAAAACATTCACAAATAGCCCTCGGTTTTGAGGAAGAACTCTAAGAAGTCACTTTAATAGGAGAGTATGATTTGATGTACGACCCCGAGTGCCCAGAACACCGCCTGGCCTTTTCCGGTAGGATGTAAGCACCAAGCTACCAGTCCTCCTACTTGAACTCACCTACCCAGGCTACTGCAGACTCAAGGGGGTCAGGCCTAGGGTTTTCACATAAAACCATGTGGAGCAGAGGTGCTACCGTAAGTGCTGGCCAGGGGGCAACTATGGTGCATTCCTATCAGGTAAGTGACTCCAATTTCACAGAGCTCCTGCAGGGCTTCCGTTGTATGGTGTCCATCCTTATTTCTCTGATGAAGCTACTGAATCTTGTGTCCGGGATTTCTTGAACAGCCCAGGACTAGAATGAACCTTTCGTCTCCCTGGAATTGGTCTTAAAATACAATAACCACTAGGGGGCTCACTCAGAGCCAGGCAAATACATCAGTCAAGTAGAACCTTCCACTTTGTTGTCTAGCACTCAGGAGGAAGATGCTGACATTGTTATGTAACGGGGAAACCAATTCTACTGGTTGTTGTTAGTGTGTGCAGTGGAGAGCATCCATCCAGTGGTGTTCAGCGACCTGAGCCTGAGGTCACAGAGGCAGGCAGAGGAGGCATGTACAGGCCTGCAAGGCGGAAACTGAACCTAAGGCTGATAAAGGTGTGAAATAATGACTGTGCCTGGCTTTCATCATAAATTACTCTTTGTCTTTGTTCACTAAATAGAACAGCTAAGGGCAGGACCTGGCAATCTGGGAGGATACAGACTATACCTGCAGCCTTTGCTGTAATAATGAAGAACTGGCTTAGTTTTGTTTGGCTTTTTTTTTTCTTCTTTCTGTACTGTAGCCATTTTCAGGGACCTTGAAGACTTCAGCTGTCCTTAAGACTTGTAGCATGGCATCCTTATTGCCAGCCTTTCTAAATTTCTGCAGAAACATTGAGATAAGCAGATTAATTAATTGGCTGGCGTCTGTTTGGCCTGATATTTTCTCTGGCGCCATATCCTTGGTAGACTTCGCAGTAGAGCATATATATTCAGCCTGTAGGCATCGTCTTCATGAACTTCACCTCATTCTTCCACATTCACTGCCCGTGATCCACCCCTCCCCTTTCTGGGGACAGAAAGGACACACCTATAGGTACTCTGTCCTCCTGGATTCTAAAGAGAAGCCCAGAAGTGTGGATAATGGGGGGACATGTGTTAGGGAAGGTCTACATCACAAGGTCATGTTTTGACACCCATGTGTACAAGGAAGATTTCCTAACTGACAGGATTCCCTCGGGCATCACGGGAATCCCTTTGAGTTTAATTGGAGGGAGGATTTGAGTTTACTATTCCTGTTTATGTTTTTTCCTGTTCTATTGGTAAAGGAGACATAAGCTATGTGACTGACTATCAGGTGTCACATTCACAGAAAGTCTGTATCCGTCCTCAATGCAACCCTGAGAGTACATCTCTCTCATCTGTGAACACTACATCTTCAGCAGCCTAAGACATCTCAAAAGTTCTTCCCAAGAGCCGACGTCTACCAAGGGCTGGTCCTGCCTTGTCTCTGATAAGACTGACTATGGCCTCGGCAGGTTGGTCCTCAACAGAAGATGGAGTCGAGACACAGGACCAGTGGTCTGAGCCCAAGGATGACAGGGAATCCATCCACTGGTGTCACCAGCCTATGCTTGACTTCTCTGCTACATAGAGTCCTGAGAGCATAAGAAAAATGCTTGTGAGAAGTTACTTTAATGACCTTTCTAGAAGTTTTACGAGCTGCTCCCATTACAAGGAGCATATTGGTGTTCCATGAGTTTTGATGGCAAATCCAACATTTTGCTCCTGTGTGGTCACTGGGATTATGCTCAGATGTGGACACATCACAGTTGGAACTGAGAGCCCCCTTACTTTTCTCAAACCCACGACGAATTGACAATGACACTGGAGACACAGGGAGTAAGTCATGGAGACAGGGATCTTGGGATGACTTTTCCTGCCCCACCACCCCTCCAGAATATACTAAAAGTACCCTAGGAAAGAGCACAGGAAACGCTAAGTGCACTGTGCTTATAACCAGGGGTGTTTATTTCAATGTGCCATCTGTCACTTAAGCAATTCCATGTGTGACGGAGTGAAGTGGTTACAGGTACCAGCACCCCACATCCCAGCCTCCTCATCACCTGAGAAGATCCAGGTCATAAACTAAAATAAAAGGCTTTGCACAGAGCTGGGTCAGGCTGTCTGACTCTACAGTGCATGCACATGACTAACTGGTTGTGTTCTCCCTGTGGCTGCGTGTAGAAGCTATATTGTTGTCCCAGGCTCTCCAGAAGTCCCATCTGCCTCTCCAGCTGGGTACTGCATACTATACGTAGAAAGGTCCTCCAGGGCAATTAATACCTGAACCAGCCAAGCACTTGGCCACGCCTTTGGGCTGACCAATGCAGAGAAACCATTGTTTCCTCCTTAGATATACTAGCTTTTATGGTGGGTATAAAAATGATTCTGGAAGTTGGAAAATCCCTAGCATATCAAGGGAAAGAGACCTTGGAGCGCAAAACCTTTGGGCCCCACATTCCAGAGGCTTTACTAGTTATGGTCACCTTCCTCCAACTACTCCTGGGTTCACAGGAGAGGTGGTCTGCACATGGCATTGTGACAAGCCACCAAGCCCAGGGTGTCTCCACCGTGAGAAGTGACATGGGGGCACTGGTGTAAGACATAACTGCCATGAACTTGGTTAGGTTCAAGTTACATCAGGCAGTCAACAGTTGAGGTCTGTGTTCTCCTTGTGGCCTTGTATGGAGATGCCAGCCACGAGCAGGAGCAATGGTGAGATCCTAAGCCAGTCATCCTTCAGGAAATCAGTAGCAGGTCAGTCATAGCCAGCTCTAGGCTTTATGTGGGTGTGCTAACTCCAGGGAGTTAATGAGTGGTGTACATCTGTAATCCCTGAAACTTGAGAGGCTGAGACACGGGGATTATGAGTTCAAGGCCAGCCTGTGCTACATAAAGTATATCTGAAGTACAGAAACAAAAACCAAAGCCAAACAAAACCAGTGTTTCATAAATTTGTTTGTTTGTTTGAATGGGAACCAGGGTCTAGTGCTCACTGCCAGCTTCCCACAGGTTTGTTCTCTGTAGTTTGTATTGAGTCTTTGGATGGGCAGAGGGTGACACATGGCCTACAAACAGGGCCTGGTTTGTCCTTGGGACTCAGGGGACAGTGGTGGGTGTTAAACATTTACAGTGGGCTCTGTGGGCTTGCAGCCACGTTCTTCTCACACCATCAGGTGATGGCTGCTGTGGTTCACTATGGCAGATGTAAGGCTTGCCTTGAACCGTTTCTCTGCCAAGGCTGGGAATCTTCCTAAGATTCTCAGATATTCTACAGTCTATATGCAAAGCTCCAACACACACACACACGCCACTCCCTGGGTTTTGCTCGGTGACCTGATGTATTTTGGGAACCTCTGCTGGTTTCCCCACAGGCATCTAGAATCTCCACATCCCTGGCTTGGTTTCATCCTTCCCAGTTCATGGCTGTGAGCCATCAATCTGGAGGAATTGGCTTATGCAATTAGAAATTTATAATGTCTACGCATGGTTTTTCAGAGTTGCAAAGGAGAGATGTTCTTAGCGATAAAAACAGGGTAGAATTTTAGCTTTCAAAACAAATGATTGTATTCGCTCCTTTGGAACGGTATTTAACAGTTTAATTTAACAGTTAATTTTCTTACAAAGCCAAAATTAGTATTGGAGTTTTAGGAAATGCTTTCATTTTTTAAAATGTAGAAATGTAGATAT